TTTGAATCAGCAGCAGCGTGAAAAAGTACTCAGACAATTCTCAGAAGACAGCAATATCCTGGTTGTTGGCTTGCTTCCTCTCCCTCTCCCCACCCGAACACACACACACACGCATTATTGTGGTCTGTGACCTAGAGATTTAAATTGAATGGCTGCTTATGTCTATGGAAACTTAACTCCTTGTCAGGTGTTGTTAATGTCCCTCAAAGCTGGTGGAGTGGGTATAAATCTAACTGCAGCTTCAAATGCTTTTGTCATGGTATGTGCATAATAGTTCCTGACTTCCTGTTGCATAAACTGTGGCATTTATCTAGCTGCAACTGTGTCACTTAAATTTTGACAATGATAAACAAATTTTTTAGATTTGATTCTAGATCTTGAGACGTTATTCTTGTTTTACCAGCATTGGGTGTATACAAGAATAATGACTGTTTTGGTAAACCTGACGTGAACTACTTTGCTGATATTTTACTGGTCTGTAGATCCATGCATTAATTAGCTGTTAATACTCAAAATAAATATGAATTTTGCAACCTGAGCCACAATGGTTAAATAAATGAGAGTTCGAGCCATGACACTAAAAGTACTGAATTCTACACAGCAGAGGGAGCAATTAATAGCGTGTAAATTAGGTCTAGAAGTTGGGGAAGGGGTGGTATATAAATAATTGTTTGAACTGATGCCGACTTGTAATTAAAATTTGTGTGTTAATATGGATGATGTGCCTATATGAATGTTATGAACAGGATCCGTGGTGGAATCCAGCTGTGGAGGAGCAAGCTGTAATGCGAATCCATCGCATTGGACAAACAAAGAATGTGGCCATCAAACGGTTTATTGTGAAGGTGTATTCAATATCCCAACTTTGGAAAAGGATGCTCACATATTATGTGGTTTTAGTATTGCACATTTTTTCATTGGATTGGAGTACACAGGGAAAATTAAATCTGCTTATAAACTAGTGAGACACTAATAGCAATATGCTGCACTGCTGTGGCTAGACTCACAGGTCCTTATATCTTTGTTGTTATATATTGCAGTCAAAATACTTCCAAAACAAAAAAGTTCTTTAATCAAGAAATTCCTATAAACCATTTTTTGAAATATCCAATATGTAATGTTGACCTTTGAAACCGTACACTTGCTGGTATGCCAAGCTCATACCCCCGCCATGTTATCATTGGAGATTTGGTTGTGAAGATATGAATTGTATTATTAAGTTTTATATGTACTATTGACTGAGTTGGACCTCCCCTCCCGCTTTAGGTTAATTGCATGATTTCTGGGGCCAGTTTGTTTGAAATTAAAAAAAGGATGACTTTAGTCAAGTCTGACGCTTGAGTTGTGGGGAGAACATTAAGCTAATCATGAAAGTTTTGTTGGGAAAAAAAAACTATTTTTAGCTTTCAAATAAGCCATTCCAAGTAGCTTTTTTTTTTTTTTACTTAAAGGGGACCCAACCCACCCACCCGCTTTGGTCGTTGAGTATAGAACCCACAACCTCCTCTATGAAAAGAGGTGTGGGGTGCCATTGAACCAAATGGTTCTTGTCTTCCACATAGCTTATCAAAAATCATATTTTTAGGCTAAGTTCTCCCAACAACTTCCTTTTGTTTAGCCTAGCTAGCTATTTTTTTCCCCAATCTTAAACAAACTGGCCGCTAATCTACTTAATCAATTAGAATGCTAAAATTTAACCGAATTTGAATGGTGCCTGCTTTGTGAATTTGAGACTCATGGTTTCCAGGTCCTGGCATTATGTTACCGTTTGGATTTGGATACGTCCATGTGACTCGGTGTCTAGCGTGAATTACCAATAAGATTGTTCAAACATACCCATTTGACTGTGCCACTTATATATTTTAAATTGCAGGGGACAGTTGAGGAGAGAATGGAAGCAGTGCAAGCACGCAAACAGCGAATGATTTCTGGTGCCTTGACTGATCAAGAAGTTCGAACTGCACGAATTGAGGAGTTGAAGATGCTTTTTACTTAGATTTTTGAAGCAGTCACAGGAATCTTTGTTGGTCAACTGGAGCATTGTGCACCTTTTGCCATTTTGCGGTTGGTATTTTCCTCTTGGCCTCTAGGGATTGCAAGAGCAAGATAGTTGTGACTTGAAGCATGGAGGTGCATCTGAGCCAGAAGTTTTGTTATCATAGTTTGGTTGCGTGCGGACATCAAGTCTAAGGGGAGGTCTATGTTCATGACTTTCATGCATGAACTATTTTAAGGTGGATGTGCTCAGCACCGAAAAAGGAATACAAGAGAAGGGGTTGGTTCAAAGCAGATGAGATTTTTTACGTGCAAGTTGGGGCAATTATTATCGAGAAGGCAATTATTCTCGAGTGATGAATTTATTGTTGTACATAGATAGAATGAGCCATCGAGAGAGCCTGCTGTATCTTACATGCAATGATCCCTTTAATATCTATCAAATTATTTGTTCTTTTAGTTATCGCATGATGGTGAAATTTGCTCATTTTATTTTCCTAGCATGAAACCACTATTGCGTGTGTATTTTCAGGGAACCAAATTTGGTAGCCGACTAGATTGGTAAAACTTCATTGAAAGGGTCATATATCCATCTGCTGGTGTGGATGCCTGTGAGTCAGCTGCAGAAGCTTTTAGATAATGATGGTGTTGGTGCCCCAATAGATAATGGTTAATGTCTTAACAATAATGCATTCATTCATGCGAAGTTAAACAGTGAAATATTTTTTTTTTTTTTTTTTCATTTTAAGTATTTTATTGAATTGCCCATAGTTTAAACTCCTGCTCAAATTGTTGTGACAAATACTCTTCCAAGTTAGATTAACGTTTCACCAAAAACAAGGCCCTGTCTATATGGCTACGTTCGGAGGGTCTTTTTAATATTGATCGGGCCCGTTCGTTTCGTTTTTTAATGTTAGAGTAGTTTATAATATAAAATTGGGGCTTCCAGCCTTCCAGGCTATCCAACGGTTGAACGGGACTACGGTCTGCTGGTGCAGTTGTTTTGAAGAAAATCATCCAACTTTTTTTATTTTATGCCATTCATTTGCGTCACAAATTATATGCAATTGTCTGTATCTTTTATTATTTAATTAGAGCAATATTATTATTAGATGAAAGCAAAGTAAGAATATGATTTGATAAATAATTTTTTATTTCTCAGCGTAAAGCTTATATTTGTTATTTTTTAGGGTCAACGATATATTTGTTATATTTTATTATAGGCATACAAAAATATACAAAATTTTGGCCTAAAAATGTATCTGAGTATTATTTTGTTCTTTTGAAAATTTTATTCCGTATCCTGTTATTATTTTTAATTTTAACAAATTAAAATCCCAGGCCCCAGCTCTTACAAGGGGAGGAACACCCCCACTACACATACTTGGCCCATTTTTGCCGCTTCAGGTAGGGAACAGAGGCCCCTTGAACCTTTTACTCACAACTGCCACTACGAGAGGAGATACGATATGTCATGCAAGCCAAAGGTTCTCGAGGCTTGACCACGCCGTATCCTATTGCTTGAGTTAAACAAGCGAGAGAAATGCATATTTGGAATTCACCTTTTTTTTAAAAATAACTTTGAAATAATCATGTTGTAATTTTTAGAAAATCTATGTATAACTTTATATTTTGTTCATATGAGGAGAAAATGGAGGGAAAATAAATAGATCTTAAATCCATTAAATAAACAAGTATTGGCCCTAGTGAAAATGATTTTGATCATTTAAGAAAAAGTTTTAAACTTGACGTGTGAATGTAGAAATCGCTTTTGGAAGAACTGCTTCCAATTGAATATGATAGTACTTGAATCAAATAGTTACACCCAAAAAAAAGGAAAGAAAAAATGAGTAATTTAATGATGATAATAATATTATTATATATTGTTAAGAAAATAATACTAATATAAATTTTTTTGAGAAATTATTTCTTTGCGTCATTTAAAATTTAAATTCGTTTTTAACTTAGTAGCATTTAAAAATAATATATAATTATTACGTTATTATAACTTTAAAAAAAGTTATATATGATTTTAATACTGTTTTTGAAGGAGTATATTTTAGATTGGAGATAGTTAACTATATTTTGGTTAATAAATAACATTATTTTTTATTCACTTTTAAATTTTAATCAATTCTTCGGGATTTGCAAAAATATGAACCTAACCTAATCTCAGTTCTAGTATATAAAGAGCGGGTGCCAGGTAACATAGTGATAATAATATCTTTTTGAAAAATTGGATATTTTCAAAATACTAATATTATCTTTTGCCTATTATGTCTAATAATATTTCTTTGTCATAAAAAATACATTTAGATAATTTTTCTATAAAAATTAGGTATTCTGGATTTGTTCTATCTTCTATGATGCCATAAACAATTTGAAGTACACGCAACGAATAATGAGATATAGTTACCTACAATTCATCCATTGAGTTGGGGGAATATTTCCCAAAATCAAATTTCAAATACCTGAATAATATTAATATTGAATATTTTATTTTTGGTTGGTCATTAAAAATCATAAATACTAATAACTTTAATTATTTCAAAAGGTTACTAATTAGTTATATGATATTAATAATCTAATTGCCATAAAAACAGAGAAAATACTTTTTGACTGGAAAATAAAATTCAAGATAGATTTGTTAATGATCCTCAAAAAGATATTTTTGACTGAATTTATTAAAATAAATAACAGATTAGCATGATCGGATCCATTTAAAAATTAAAATATATATAAATATTTTTATCAGAATATATATATAAATATATCTTTAGTAAATTTTCCTCTCACCCCCCCCCCTTTTACCTTATATTTTCCCCTTATTGGACAATACCAAGGGTATTCGTGCGTGCCAACAAGCTTACAGTCCCATAAACAGAGCTGATAAAATTATACAGGGTCCGTCGATCCTTTTCACCATCCTGAAAAGAGATTCGGAAAAATCCCAATCCCAATTTCTTAAAATAAGAGGGTGAAGCCGGTTTCTGGCTTTCTGCTGAAAAGACAGATCCTTCTTCTGGCGCCTTTTACTGCGCATTCAAACTCTATATCTTCCTTCAGCTTCTCCCACAAGCAAAAGAGACACAGAGCCAAAATTCCCTCTTTCCCTCTTCCTGGGTTGTCAACTAGTGTTCAAAGTTGATACCTTTTTCTCGGATATTCTCAAGCTCGTCATTCGACTTTCATGGAGGACTGTACGGTCACCCAGTCTTTGAACTCCCCGCAGACCGAACAGCACATGGCAAGTACGGCCGACATTAACGGCCCCTCCTTTGTTTTGGGGGCTGTTGGAGTCCAGAACTCCGCCGTCGGAGGAAATTCCGAGGCTATCGGTTCGGAAGTTGGGTTGAAGAGGAAAAGGGGAAGGCCTCGGAAGTACGATGGAAACCTTCCGTCTCCAAAATTGTCGCCGTCGGGATTTTCAAACTCTTCATCTGCTAAGCGAGGCAGAGGAAGGCCACGTGGCTCTGGAAAGTTGCAGATTTTAGCTTCAATGGGTGAGTATATGCATGTTTGTCTCTCTGCTTTTATCCATCTAATGTTATGATACATACACATAACAACGTTGTTTTTATTAATGATGTTATGGTCTGCCTGTTTGTTTTCTCTCTCTGAGTTGAGCATTTAGGTCGTTTTCTTTGCTTACCGTTGGCATATCCTACATTGGAGTATGAGCGCTTGATTTGGCACTGAGCATGTGCTTTTAAATATACTAGAATACTAAAAGCTTTACAATTTTATAATGCGACACGCCCACTTGTGTCCTTATGGGCTAATCTATCCACCTGCCTCATGTAATCTTAGGTTTAAACATATAGTTCAGTTAATCTCCCTGTGCACGAGATATATCGGTCACTCACTCGAGAAAGCTACTTCCTCTTGATGAATAAAGAAGGGAAAAATACCCATACACATGTACATGTTGAAATTATAAAATATGAACTAGTATCCAGCTGGTTTAGAGAAATTAAACTTGTTTCTTATGTGTGAAACTCTTTTTTGCTGAAGGAGGAATGTTTTCAGCCACAGCTGGAGGAAGCTTTATCCCTCATGTAGTGATTGTGAATCCTGGAGAGGTAATATCAAGACTCGAGTAAAACAGTTGCTCATGTTTCAAATATTTCCTTTACATCATGTCTGTACTTTCTGTTATGAATGGGGGAATAAACGGGAATCCAGCTTTTGGTTATTGCAGGATGTTGCGAATAACATATTATCATTTTCTAATAAATCCCCTCGAGCTCTTTGCATACTCTCAGCTATTGGTGCTGTATCTATTGTCGACATTCAGCAACCGGATTCTTCTGGTCGTTGTTTGAGATATGAGGTATATTCCCGTGCACATTTTATGGGAATCTTTATGCTTGCTTAATGTTTATTGATTTATCTTTCACTTTATATCTCAACCGTGATAGCTGAGTTTGCTTGGTAAGAAAGACAGTCATCTCACTTAAAGGGGTTTGATCCTTTGGTAAGAAGATATCATGTATCTTTTTTTCAACTTATGTTTGAAAGAGAACTTTGAGATAAAATCTTAAATGCTCTATATTAGAGTAAGAGAATGCGCCCCTAAAATTGTCTGGGAAGGAGATTTTATTTCAAGCAAAGTCTGAGGTCACCCCTTACTGTGATGCCAGAAAATAGTTGTTTATCCTTGTGGAATAGGCGAAAACAGAGAAACTAAAATGGGTCACTAAAATTAAAGTCTATTAAGTATGCAATTTATGGTGTAAGATGAGCTATTTCACTTTTTTTTTTTCCCTCCTGGTTTATGGGTTCTTTTGATGTTCCCATATGCAGGGTCTCTTTGAGATAATAACTTTATCTGGATCATATACCTATGGTGGCATCGGTGGTGATATGCACCGGAAAAGTCTCACCATGAGGATATCACTAGCTCAACCTGATGGGAAGATTTTCGGAGGTGGTGTTGGGGGCTCACTGATAGCAGCAGGCCCTATTCAAGTAAGATTTTGTTTAACTACCCATGTGATACTAAAATGGTCTAACTTAATTCGGAGCACAAAGTGGTGTCAAAGCATGTTCATAGACCTGAATTTAGATGGTGACGTAGCAATTAGGGTGTCTACGGAATGTGTTCTTGAAGGGAAGGAAGGAATTATGAAAGTTATGTGCTGCTTGTATAAACTTGATTGTTTCTCACGTAAGTTGGAAGCCTTTAAGCAGACAGTTGCTAGCAATGATGCTTCCTAGGGCTGCTTCTAGTGAGGCAATGAACTAGCATCTTTTTTAATTTTGCCATGGACTTCAGGAAAACAGGTGAATACTTGAGTCTGATCTGATTCTAAATGTTACTAAGCCAGAATTAGATACGGACAAGACTGTAGTGTTTTTAAGAATTTGCTATTAGGCCTTTCAATCTAAGCATAACTAGTGAGCTTTTTTTTTTTTTTTGGGGTGTTAATCTATACATGATATCCATTTCTCATGTCTTTAAGAACTTGAAAGCAGACAATTAAAAATTGTATCTTTGTGTTGCCCAAGCATAATGGTGCTACTAAAGTAACTGACTTGAACTTAACACTTAATTTTCTTGGCTCATCAGTTAATTCTGGGCAGTTTTAAGCAAAACATCAGTAGTGAAATTAAAAGACGGCTGTCCCCTGGATCTTCTGGTGCTGCCGACATGCCTGGTGATTCAGATTCAGTGAGGCTTTCCTTACAGGTTCCTAAATTGATAGAATCTGAACAGAGCTTTCCTTCACCAACATCTGGACTTATGCCGACATCTAATGGATTGCCTGATCATGTCATGCCTAGAACATCTAATGGATTATCTGACAATGTCACTGCTGCCACAGCTAATGGTAATGGGTTGCCAGATTTCTTTACTCCGAATCAGAGCATGCAATCTACCTCGTTGAATGGTGCTGGCCTAGACTGTCAGGTCTTGCAGCCCTTTCCAGATCCAATGACGTTTGGAGATATTAATAATCGTGTCTCTCAGATGTGATGCTGCGTGAAACAGTCACTTTCAAGCTTGTATTTCTTCCTTCTTTCTTATGCTAGGGGTCGTATTTATGTGGGGGCTGACTTAGAACTTAGAAGTGGGTTCTCTCTTCTTCTTCTTCTTCTTCTTCTTTTTTGCCCTTTTTTTTCCATTCCAGTTTTTCAGGTGGTGAAAAATTTACTATTATGACTTATAATTGACGAACTTGTGAGAGAAAAGCGAGGTCAGGTGGTGAATCTCACTCGGGGAGATTGTCTTTCAATCTTACTTCTCTTATATATCCTTTCATCTTCATGTGACAAGACAGGATTCAAATGGTTTATAAGGATGATGTATCTACCTTTAATAATTGTTTCTGTAGATAGTTCGCCATTTGCTTCTTATTCAATTTGGGGGAAAAGATTTTCATCAAATATTCTTATTCTTTAAATTTTTTATCACTTTAATGCTAAGGTTTTATTTAACTTGAAGCTATTAATCCTGTAAAATATTCTATCATTACTTTAGTATCTTTCGAAAGGTGCAATACAAACAAGAAGTATACTTCAGTGAATGCAATAATAAGTAAACAGTACCGTGATTGGAGGAAAAAAATGAAGAAAAAGAAAATTCTTGCATGAAATAATAAATTGACAAGCTTCATGGCCTTGCGGAATGTGATTAACAGCAGGCTGCACATGGCAGGGTGAGCAAGACGCTTAATGTTCAGGTTAAAAAGATGGATGAGCTATATTTTGTAACACGCAGCCCAATCATGTTCAATAAAAGTTCAGGCAATTTTGGATAAGATAAGCTTCCCTGCCGATGTGATGACACTTTATTTAGATTATGTGAAGATTTTCACCAAATTTCAGAAATAATATTTTAGACTTTTAATATATTTTATAATTTCACAATTTAAAATATTTCAAGAGAAGAAATATAACACTAAACTTGAAATCCACATATCTGCTTGGCCAAAAAAAATCCATACTTCTATCTATCATTCCATATCTCTTTATAATTACATAATCAATCACACCATGATCGGTTTTCATACAGCATCTAGGATTATACATGACAACAACTTAAGTCTTTAAATATTTAATTATACCATATATGTGTATTACATATATATTAAATATAATTATTATAAAAACTCTAGGTATGGTCAAATGGGCAGCAAATTCTGCCGGAGATTTGACCCAGTTCAAAAGTGCCGATTATTTTTTGAGCCGCCTTTTTAGAGTTGGGCTGAGTATGATTTTAGTGGGCTCGGATAGGCATCGTGAGATTTTCCTCCCATGAAGACCCCTAATTAATAGATTATACATTAGCAAACAATCTGTAATTTTTAGCGTCAAGGACTATTTGTCTGACTGCTGCAATAGCTGCTATAGCTCCCAAAGCAGAGAAAGTGACAGCAATAATGGCGTTCAGCCAGAAAATGGGACTTCGCTTGGATGGCTTAAAAGTGAGGTTGAAGAAAACCGCAGGCAAGATGAAGTCAAGAGGAGTGAAACCAAAAGCACCGATGAGTGCGTTTATGTCCCCAAAAAATGGAAGCATCGCTGCTATAACAACCGCCAGAGCAGTACTCAATGACCGAGTAATCGCTCTGGGGATCACGTTGCGCATCGAAAATTCTGCTCTTTTTGGGTCCGCAAATGCTCGTTCCATCATTTCGTTCGTAGGCTGCAGGTAAACCTGCACACCACACAGTTATGTTGAAACTTCACTCTTCATCCTTACGCATTATGTATGATTTAGCAAGGGTTTTTTGATTTGTGCACTCGATAAAGAATTGAAACTATAGATATAGATAACGCAGAAAATGGAGGTTGAAGATAAGGGATACGTACCACCCCGACAGCTGAAAGCTGAGCTATGGTGAAAATGTTGGTCATATAAATAAACCACCTGGGCGTCAAAGGCCTCCCCTGATCAACAAAGTTGTTTAAGATGAGGCCAGCAGAATGGTTCCCAAATGCCCAGTAACCAGAGATTGCAACGCTGAAGAATGTCACTATGAGTACCAAGTAACAAACACACAGTCCCTTGAACATCTTCCCTTTTACAGGGGGTGCCAATGTTGCCTGTAAACCCAGGAAAACAAAAGAAGACAAATTTCATATTCACAATCACACACAACACGAACATCTCGATGTGGTTGATGCTTCGAAAAGTGTGAAGTAATTAGTTGAGTTAGTGGAAACCTGAATTTCAGGAATGATTCCATTTCCGTAAGTGGTGGCAATGATGGCCATAGCATTGAAGATTCCGAACAGACGAGTCTCTGTATCGCCATGCAGAGAATAATCCTTTGGTGGGCCTTTGGAGGAGTTACCTGCAGGAATTTGGGTAAATATGGCATGTGACTAATTGCAATAATGAAAAGGGAAATACAAGTGGAAACTTGAGAAGAAATTAATGAAGCAGAAATACCAATATAAATGGAAGCGCCAGTAACACAAAAACTGTAGGCGAGGCAGAGAACCAAAGACACCATATTGATGTGCCTCAGCGAATGAAACGATGGAAGCTGAGCCAAGATTAGCATCAAGCATCCGAATATTAACACAAACTCGTACAGCTTCATGCTCCCATTTGGGTTTGCCACCACGTAAATTGCCTTCATTATTCAAGAACAGATAGGTTTCATTTCTGTAAAAGCGGGTGAGAATGTTGAAGGATTTGAGGTCAATTATTTACCTTCATGCATTGTCCACCCAGAAGAGTGCAAGCCACAACAGCACCGTAGCAGACTGCGAATTGAATTGGCCCCACAAAATACCGACCCCAAGCTGGGCCTGCCATTCATAAAACCAAACACGGGGGTACGTTATAGAATACTTGGGCCATTTGGCTGGCCCATATAAATTGGGCTTATAGGTTCCCCAGCCTTATTGCAAAGTTCTCTCTTTTATGCCTCACTAAAGGGTGTAGTATTATTCTATTGCATTTCTATGTTATGAAACACGTGTAACGGCGGAGGGAAGATAATGACAGTACCTAGAACTAAATATTTGAGGGAGGGGGAAAAAACCTAGAGATCTGAAGTAAGATGAGAAAAACCTAAAATGTGGTGGGCCAAGTCTCGGAATCGGAGCAGGCGGTGGCCATGCTGAGCATGATGTTCCAGAACCAGGGACAATAAATTGTAGTTATAGAAGGTGACGAGGCCAGCAACAACCAAGCAGATGAGACCACCTGTCCAGCCCAGGAACGTGAAGGCGTATGGAAGACTAAGCAGTGGTGGTGCTACTATGGAGGTCGTGAGGTGGTAGCCACAGTGCACCCACGATCCTGCCATAATAATAATAATGATAAATAAATCACAATGATTGATGATCATATCAAGTAGATAATAAAAAAAATAGAATCCGCCCTCCACCACGTGCCTCGTCCCTCACAAGAAGGAATTGGGAGGACTCCAACTTCTTCTTTGGGAAGAAAAGGTTGAATGAAGAAACATTACAGAGATGATAGCTTCTGAGAATGAAGAGCAGAGAAGGAGAAGGATGATACCTTTAGACTTGAGAACAAAGAGGGCTCCGGCATCTTCAACATCGCCATGCTTCTGAGGAAGATCAAGCCGTGTGGAACTTGTGGGAGGATTCTTTGCTGCATCATCACCAACTCCATTGGAGGTCGGAAGCAGAGAGCTCATCTTCTTCTTCTTCTTCTGATCTTTCTTTCTCTATATGCCAACTACAAGTCCAACCACAGAACAGCCCCAAACACAACATCCTTACTGTTACTATATATAGAACCAGAGTCAACTGCCTCTAGTTTATTATTATAATCAGCGAAATAATAAATTGCTATTCCTAACAGTCAATTGTTTTGGCCTCTCATTGAATATAATAGTACATCCGGCCTGAATATAAAAATTAATTGGCAATTGAATTTATTATAAATATAAAATTTTCATTCATTTTGCCTATCAAACTTGTAATATTTTCTTCAAAATATCCCTCTATTGATTATAATGGGTCTCACTGAAAGACGGTTTGCATGTAATTAAAATGAGTAGGTTAGGGAAGTCAAAAAAATACTCCTCCGGTCCTAATTATAAGACCCAATTGACTTATTTGAGGAGATTAAGGAAGTAAGTTAAGTTGGTTATTTATAATAAATAAGTGTTGTTATTCCTAAAATATCCTTGCTAATTAAGTATATTGGCTAAAACTATCATTATTAGAAGGATTATCTTGGAAAAAAATGCATAAATATAAGAGAGAAAATGGATTGGGTCTTATAATTAGGACCAAATAAAAAGTCAAATTGGGTCTTATAATAAGGACCGGAGGAGTATTTGTTATAATTAACCAAGTTAACTAATTTTTTTAATCTCTATAAATTAGTTATTTAGATCTTATAATAAAAATCACTTACAGATAATGATGACGTTGATGCGGACCACGCCATTTAAGACTCGGGAAGAAGAGTTAAAAAGTAATGAATCGGAGCTCGCAAGGAGCACCGGGGGTGGAAAAGTCAAAGATGCTAGAATCAAAGATGCGGGCGAGGCGGGAGGCGATGTGAACGCACAAAGAAAACTCGTGGCCAAACATGGAATTGGTGTTTGGGAGCGGTCAGGTGATTATGATTATTTTTATTTTTATTTTTTGGGTCAAGATTATGATTAATTTGTCCACCATAATCACATATGATATGATGAATTTAAATTAACTATATTTTGGTTTTTGAGCCACACAACATTTCCTCAATAAGATCAGACCCTAAATTACCATCGCAAGTTTAATAAACTTACTTGCGAGTCTCAATTATTTCAAAAAAGAATATGACCTTGAAAAAGTATCCTCTATTGAATACGAAGCTGTTGTCCCTAATTTCTCAATTATGACCGTCACTTCTCGAAGGGTGCTTTGAAAAATGATTCATTAATACTCTTCCGGTCCTTAATATAGAACCCAATTGTTGAGTTGGTTTTGGTCCTAAATATAAAACTCATTTCTCATATTTATCAATTTTCTCTAAATTATCCCTATAGATACTCTATCAACCATAATCAAGTAGAAGATAGAGAGGGGTATTAAGAAAGCTGATTATGGTATTTTAAAAAACGTGTCACAATTTTTATAATTAACTACCTTACCTAACTTTCTTAATCTAATTAAATTAGTTAAATGGGTCCTATATTAAGGATCGGAGGAGTATGTCATTATTATTTGCGGAAATTTTACATTATGAAGCACCTACTCCTGGGAAAAAAAAAAAACACTTCGCCCAATCATCATCACGTGTTAGATGATTCCAACCTTTGACTTTTAGT